TGGCAGTAAAATTTAACCCATACACAGTAGTACCTGGAACCATGCTTTATTACTTTCATGTGTTAGGGGAAAAGGTCCCGAGTGTGTTCCGTGGCTGTGGTTTATTTGGTGTTTCCTGTTTTTCTCTACAGTCAATTGCCCTTTGGGAACCTATTATTCTCTGGAGCATTCTGTCTGTGAAAGCTGCCAGATGGGATCCTATCAAGATGAAGAAGGGCAACTGGAGTGCAAACTTTGTCCCCCTGGGACTTACACTGAATATCTCCATTCGAGAAGCATCTCTGAATGTAAAGGTAGAGGCTTAGTGGACATTTTGACTGGAAGCAGCCTGACTTTCATTTCCAGTTGTAGGGGAAGAAAGATTTCTTTTCTTCAGCCATGGCTAGGTTTAAGGCTGAGGCCTTTATAGCAAAAGACAGATAAACAAAAGAAAAGCATGCAAATTTCTTTAAGTTTTACATGACCCAGGAGCCTTTAGAAGTGAAGGCCCAAAGAAACAGGAAAACCTGGGTATTTTATGTGGAGTCTGATAAAGAAGTGGCTGCTTGGGGAGAAGTGTGTTTGGACAAAGGGGTATGATCTCATAGTAATAAACTGGGAAGAACTTAGTAAGGCCCGTCTGTTCAGATTCTTCTCCGTGTCTGTCTTCAGAGAGAAGGATGGTCCCTTCGTCCAGGTAGAGCGTAGGCACGTCTCACATGAGAGTCTTTTGACCTGCTTCAGGGGAAGCTCAGAAATTCTTCCTAGATTTTATGACCTGCTTCTGGGAAAAGGGCAGAAGGTCAGAGATTTTCCTGCTTCTGTGGTTGTTTCAAATTCCTTCAGCTTAAAATACTCAGTATGCCAAGGTGCCATATTTTGAGCCATCATGTTCTGAGCCCTGTCATAGTTCTGAAATCTAAATAGCAAGGAGAGTGAAAAAACAGCACTGGTAAAAGCAATTTTATTTATTTATCTGTTCTATCTTTTAGTTATAAAATATTGCCCGAATGTTCCCCTTCTTTAAAGAAGTCCATTTCTCTTTTCTTTTGGAAATATTCCATTGCTCTAAGTCAGACTCCAAAAACATTCATCAAGTAGCTTAGATTTTGTCCTGAATCACAGATTAATTGGTGGAAAGGACTTTCGTGACACTTAGCAAGCGTTGGCTTGCTTTTTATTAGAACAGTATTTGATATAATGAGATCAATTCTCCATTTACTTGGAAATGAATAACTACAGGTGTCTGTGTACATATTCTTGCTGCTAAAATATTCAGTATCTTCAAAATATTTTTGCTATTATTCTCAATGAGTATTCTTAATGGAAACACTTTCTTTCATAATTAAGGTTACAGTAAGACACACCTGAAATAAGGAATTACAAAATTGTGCCTCTTTGCCTTTGTTGCAAATGCAGGTGTGGATGCTTAATGACAAATATAAATTCTAGGGCAGTGCTAGGTGATTGGAAATGCACTAAAAATGTGAGCAATGCTGAAAATGAGAGTCATTTAGAGGATAAGGGCTAAAAGAAAGTACAGTGCCCTGGGAGTTGGGCCATCGGGCCCAAGTCCTGCTCTACTACTAATCATCACTATGAATTTTAGAAAGTTATGTCATCTCTCTGGGCCTGATGCTATGACTTTTATTTTCTACTCCTGATCAGCTCTCAAATGAAATGGTGTCTGTAGGCAGGAAGAGGTAGCAGGATCAGTTCTTGTTTAAAGCGATAAATGTACCAGCGTAGTTATGAGGCTCTAGCCCAATTTGGGGCTTTGTTTCTGTCACTCAAAAGAACAGCATACCAGTTGACAACTTCTACGTGAGCAACTTCCCCTGTGTGCAACTTGTTCTTATGATAGTGACTTCCTGTGATGTATATATTTCAAAGTTCTTTCAACCACTATTTATTGAACACATTCTATGTGTCAAGCACTGTAATAGGTAATAAAGGAAGTAAGTCTAAAACTTATTAGTATACGGAAGCATGGGGTGTGTACAATGTGTATGCTTGACTAGAAGGAGGAGGCGTTCTTTATGTCCCTCATTCTGTCCTAAATTAAAATGCAGAAAACCCAATGCTGCACAGTGTTGATTTTGTGCAGCTCAATATCGCTATTAACCATATTACATTTTTTCTTTCTAGCTCAGTGTAAACAAGGCACCTACTCAGTCAATGGGCTTGAGACTTGTGAATCATGTCCACTGGGCACTTATCAGCCAGAATTTGGTTCCCGAAGCTGCTTCTTCTGTCCAGAAAACACTACAACTGTGAAAAGAGGAGCTGTGGACATTTCTGCTTGTGGAGGTTATCAAAGCCTTAGATACCGATATTTCTTTAAACCTACTCCGTTCTATGCATGAAGAGGTGGACTATTTTCAGCAAAACCATATGTCTGCTATATGCAAAGAATGTAAATAACTGTCTCTTCGTGGAGAGTTCCTTTATATTTAGCCTGTCAATACTTACATGCAAACAACTGCAGTATAAACATGAGCCAGTGCTATTAGGAACACAAAAGAAGTACAAGACTTGGTCCCAGGCCTCAAGCTGTAATGAACATGTGACTTCGTGGTACGGTAGAAATACATCTAAACTAACAACTTGGTTTCCTCATTTATAAAATGAGGTCCTTTCTAGTGTTCCTTGAAACTCTAAACATACTCCACAAACTATGACATTTCATTTCTTATGATTTGAAGATTTTCATGAGTGGTTATACACTCTGGCTGCACATTAGAATCATCATCACATGTATATCAGTACTTTAAAAATACTGAAGTCCAACCTTCACTCTCAGAGATTCTCATTTGACTTGTCTAGGGTAGAGCCTGGATACTGGTTTTCTTTTCAGGTTACCTCAGGTGATTCTAAGGTTACAGGAACAGTTGAGAGCCAATAATTTTGGTCCTCAAATGTCAGGATGGAAGGCATGTGAAAACAGATGGCTGGGCCCCACCTCCAGAGTTTTCTATTCCATAGGTCTGGGGAGGGGTCTAAGAATCTGCATTTCTAGCTAGTTTTCAGGGAATGCCGATTCTACTGGTCCAGGGACCATACGTTGAGAACCACTGGTTTAAATAGAAATAAAAAGATTAGAATTCCAATTTTTAAATATTTGTGACTAACATCCCTACCGAGGGTAGTTTTCCAGCAAAATACTCATGAAGATGTAAACAAAAATAAAAGATGTAAATTTAGAATGACAATGACTCTAGGACTGATGGTCAAGGTCAACTTACTGCCAGAAACTCCAAACAATTGCAACTAGTTTGAAAAGTCAGTGGCACTGGATTAAAAATAAAAAGTTGTTGGCCTACCTCTGCTACCTCACTGGGGACAAAAAAAGCATTTAAAAGTGTGTATCCTCTCCTTTCTCTACACTTTTATTTAAACATTAGGCCTATGGCTTTTTATGCCATTCCCTGTGGTACGCTTCTGGAAGTAAAATTTAACCCATACACAGTAGTACCTGTTGGTTTCCCATTTCTCTCAAGCTACACAGAGACACATACTCACAGCTCCTACCCTCACTACACTCCAGACATAACTACAACTGCATCCGATTAGAAATGGAAATTCCTAGAAAACCAGTTGGTGTGTGACAGTGTCCAGCATTGCATCTTGGGAGATGTAGTCCTCATAAGTGTCATAGGGAGAAAAGAAAACAGGGAAAACATACTCTGAATTATAGATTTTTAAACACCCCGTCTCCTTAAATTACCTTAGTCTCATAAGATCATGGTAGATAAATTCTGCTACACTTGAGGAATTGGGTGAGCAGCCCTCCTTCAGTCTGATGTTTCCCAGAAAAGCTGTGAAGAGAATTTACCTAGGACTAAGTTGAAACTCATAAACCGTGTCTGTTGTGTAACACCAGCTTTGGATTTTTTTTTTATTAAAAGTCAAACAAGGCTTCACATTATGGTTGAAATAGATCTGCTAGAGACTTTTTTATTATGTCAGTATACATACTAATTTTGGAAGAAGTCTGCAGTAAAATCTTCTCCCCCCTGCCCCTTCCTCCAACCACAAAAACAACTAGGATTTTTATAGTGAAACAAGTTCATTTTGGGCATTTTTCTTTTAGTTTTCTAAATAAGCCTTGAGGTTTGTCTAATACCAAATTATTGTAATTAAGCAGTTATAATTCCCAGAAAGTTTCTAAAATTCTGGTAATAGCCACATGTTTTCTAGTATTCCTAGCACAAGTTTAACCACATTCTGCATGCCACGAGTGTGAAGTGGGAATCAAAACTCAGCACTCTCTCTTTCAGCACTGGATAAATAACACTTTACTTTAAACTTAAATATGTCTGAGTTCTAAAACAGTCCCATATATATTTTTTCTTAGTTTTAAACTCACTCCTTGCTTTTCCTTTCCTTTCTTCCTTCTTTTCTTCCTCCTTTAGTTCTTTATTTTCTTCTTTCTTTCCTTTTTCTTTATTTTCTGTCTTTCTGTACTGATTTATTTTTATGGGCATATTGTATAGTTTATCTTATTTTTTGCTATGATATCACTTTTTGCATTTCTTTAGCATGTTGAACTTAAAATATTATTAATCAATGTAGCAATTTTATTTAAGTATATTACTATGTTAAAATAATGCATTCTCTATACATCTTTTATACCTTTTATCACTTCTTAGGTCATTAAATATTCTTGGGTTTGTGGCTACAAACTCAAGTCTGAAATTTTTCATTTTTCAAAAATGATTTTTATCTGAAGAGTAAGTCCCACAAATGATTTGCTGTTGTTGTTGTTGACATATCCCATAGGAGAAGAAAGGATTATTTTGGGGCCAGGACAACACCACCTCTTAGCCTGACCCTCCAGGATGAAATTAAAAGGAGGCTCAGTATGAGAGTTATTGACCTCTGACTTTGTCGTAGGAAACCTATTTATTAATTTTGTGTATATTTAAGGTGTACAATATGTTTTGATATACATAGCAAAATGTTTACTATAGTCAAGCAAATTAACATATCTGTTATCTCACTTAGTTACCTTTGTGTGTGTGTGTGTGTGTGTGTGTGTGTGTGTGGTAAGAGCACCTGAAATCTACTCTATTCGCAAATTTCCAGTGTACAATATATTAGCTATAGTCAGAAAACCCATTTAAAAGGCAAACTCCACTTAGCTCCAGGGCCACAGGCATTGTTCTTAACACTATCAGGACACAGCACAATTGGGATAATATTTTTCCCAGGCATTTCAATGCACTATTTTTAACTTGATTTTAATATCATTTTTGATATTAAATAAAACATTTCCCCCCTCTTTTCTTATGACATGTGTCCTTTAGGAACTGTGTATGTGTGTGTGTGTGTATGTTTAGCACTGTATTATGTATTAGTAGTACTATTAGGTATATGTGGGTTTATACATACATATGTTATATATGTGTGTGTATATATTTACTGCACATATAAATAATATATTAAGTGCTAATAGACCACTCTGGAAATTCTATTTCTGATGACAACTGTCTGCCCTTGGAATGTAATTTAAACTAATTTTTATGTGCAAATTTACTTTACACTTTCATGCCAAAAAGTAAAGTACAGACATCACAACAACATGTTAGTTTTTTTGTGAGGCCAAAAAGCTTATTTACTTTTAATCTTAATATTTCATTGTTATTATATCTTAATATAATTTTTGGCATTCTTTCAGGTTTTAGGGGCATAATTTTTTTTTAGATAAGATTATGCTGAAAAAAATCATGTGTACAGTTTAATTCATTATAGCATCTTCAGTTTTACTGACAGAATTTATCTTTTTAGCTTTTCATAGACACTCATATTCTCTAAAATAGAAATTTTATACCTTTACCAATAGAAGATTTATGCTTTCAATTAACTAATTTAATTAGCTGTTTGGAAGTTATTTTTTCCAAATAGGCAATCATTTTTGCAAACTTAAGATTCAGAAAACCCGTTTTAAACTCAACAAGTTTACAGTGTATTTGTGCAAATAACAGGGCTTTATCTAGAACTCTGAGATCTATCAAACAAACAAAAAAGAGTAGATTAACTTGCTCCTCAGGAAACACAGATACTTACAGTTTAAAACTATTTCATGCATATAACAAATGTAGTCACAAGCAGCACTTTTTTCTAAATTGACATTAATATCTATATCTTCTGCCATCTCTTGAATCGACTTCTAACTTTCTGTCAATTGGGTATGTAAAAGAGCTCTTTTGCAAAAAGATGTGGCTGACTATTTTTCTTAAGAAGTTTTGATATTTTACTAATTTTCTCAGGTTATAGTGGCTTTAGGGTTCCCTCAAATAACATCAGTTCACACAAGGAAAGGATACATTCCACCTAAATTGATCTTTGGTCACAGTCTACAACCCGAATCCAAGGATTGAATCATGAATAGCTCTGACCGCTGACCTTCTGTCAAATGCAACCAAAACTTATTGAAGAAAATCCAGGCTAGTGTTATGATTGAACCTATTTTTTTTTTATTTAGTTAATACTCCACCAATTACTGTCAAGAGAATTTCAGATTTGGTTAAGTGACAATATTTAACTGAATGTTCTTAACAAAAAGCACATCTAGGGCCGGCCCGGTGGCGCACTGGATAAGTGCGCCGCTTAGGAAGCGTGGCGGCGCTCCCACCCGAGGGTTCGGATCCCACATACAGACCGGTTCCCGCTCACTGGCTGAGCGAGGCATGGGGGCAACACCGAGGGTTGCAATCCCGTTGCCGGTCCCCGGTCCGGTGCGGGGGCAACACTGAGGGTTGCGATCCGTTGCCGGACACGGAAAAAGACAAAAAAATAAAATAAAATAAAATAAAAAAAAGCACATCTAACTCAAAATGACATTGAAAGGTTTAAAATAAAAGGATTGACAGACATACAAATACAAAAAGCAGGCAAGCAAGAGTGACAAAATGAATCATAAAAAAGTTCAGTTCAGGGCCGGCCCCGTGGCTCACTTGGGACCGTGCGGCGCTGGTAGCGCCGAGGTCACAGGTTCAGATGCTGTATAGGGATGGCTGGTGCGCTCGCTGGCTGAGAGTGGTGCAGACCACACCGTGCCAAGGGTTGCGATCCCCTTATTAGTCAGAGAAAAAAAAAAAGACAATTCAAGGCCAAATAGCATCAAGTGAGGAAGAGATTCTTTTTATTAAAAAATTCACAAGGAATATAAACTAGTCATGATAAAGCTTTGTTATCAAATATCAGCATTAAAAACAAAACAAAATCTGTCTCACAAGAAGAAATTGCAGAAATACAACTTTCGTGGAAGATTTTAATACCTTCTTTGGATTTTCTACGACCAAGTAGGCAATCAGTATGGATATGTAGAACATATAATATATAATTGATAAGATTGAATTTATAGTATACATTACACTTTTTATTCTACTATGAAAACATTTTAATGAGGTATTTATTAATTATTTTAAATTATTTTTAGATATATTGAGCCAAAAAGAAAATCTCAATAAATTTCAAAAAGTGGTAGTTATCTATACACTGTAAATTCTCTGACCATATGGTGATAAAAATGGAAATTAATAGTAAAAGCTAGGGGCCTGGTCGGTTAGCTCAGTTGTTCAGAGCGCAGCCTTATAACACCAAGGTCACAGGCTCGGATCCCTGTACCGGCCAGCCGCCAAACAAACAAACAAACAAACAAACAAAATAATAAAAGCTAAAGCGAAAAAATACATACTTCAAACATTTATATGTTTTAAGACATCCCTCCAAAAAATAATTGGATCAAAGAAAAAAGTCAAATTATAATTCATATCATTTAGAAAATTGCAAATAAAATGGCAATATTAATTATCAAACTGTGATTTAACTAAAGCTGTTTTCATAGGTAAATCCTTTGCCTTACATTATTTTATTATTTAAAAAGAAGGAATAAAAATTAATTAGTTCAAAGAAAGCAGTTCGACAAAATTAATAGACAAAACACAAACTTTAACACTTCAAAATCTGCATTAGAACTTTATGGTATACTGAATCATAATAACAATATCCTTATTTTTACTTTTTTACTATGTTTATTATAAATCTTTACTGAATTATTAAAAAACAAAAAGTCTTCCTGTTATGTCTGTCTAAAGAAAATCTATTGCTTCCTTTCCATATTAAAAATATATTCAAATTTTGTACCTCACTTTGTTGAAAACTCAAGAAAGCAAAGGGGAATCTAAACAAAAATAAACCATCTTCCAATATGGAAAAAAGAAGAAACACGAACTGGTGAAAATGTTTGCTCTAAATATGTCAAAAAAAATTTTTTTTTTTTTTTTTTGTCTTTTGTCTTTTTTTTTCCGTGTCCAGCAACGGATCGCAACCCTCAGTGTTGCCCCCGTACCGGACCGGGGACCGGCAACGGGATTGCAACCCTCGGTGTTGCCCCCGCGCCTCACTCAGCCAGTGAGCGGGAACCGGTCATCTGTACGTGGGATCCGAACCCTCGGGCGGGAGCGCCGCCGCGCTTCCCAAGCGGCGCACTATCCAGTGCGCCACCGGGCCGGCCCAATATGTCAAAAAATTTATATTCTTAATATATAAGCACAAATATAAGTATAGATGATATAAATATATATATATATGTATAAGTATAGATGATATAAATATATATATATATATATATACATGCACAAATGATTCGTTTTATCTTTGCAGCGCCTTGTCCAGAAGGAGAGTTCTCTCGTTCTGGGTTAATGCCCTGTTATCCATGCCCTCAAGACTATTACCAACCTACTTCAGGGAAGTCCTTCTGCCTGGCTTGTCCCTTTTATGGAACAACAACTATCACTGGTGCCAGATCCATCACAGATTGCTCAAGTAAGATGATCTACTTTATTTCTTTCAGAATCCCATGTTGGAGACTTTACTAGTACTTTTCTTTGTCTCAATGGTAGCTTCAGTTCTGAATATTACTATTTTCAATAGATTTGGGTGTCTGGACTTGTCAAATTGTCCTTTTGAGATCTTTTTGATGACAGTGGCTGAAAGAGTCTTATTTGGAAATGTTGAACTTGATAACTTCCACATTTCTTTCTAAGAGTCTAGGATTTAATGACATGTGCCATCCATCTCTGGGCTTTTTTGATATTACTGAAACAAAATCTATGTGGCATTACACTCTTTGACAACCAGAATCTTGACCATAGTATTTAGATAGTGTCTACTTATTGGCAATAGCTACCACATACAAACATGTTTTTCTAATGGTTTTTTTTTTTCTATTAATTTTACTAGGTTTTAGTTCAACTTTCTCAGCAGCAGAGGAAAGTTTAGTGCCTCGTGCTGCTCCTGGACATATTAAAAAGGAGTATGAAGTCAGCAGTCAGGCAAGTCCATTTTCTATGTATAAATTTTTCTCTGGTGGAATGCTAGAAAACAATTTGTCACTTTACATGTCAAATAAAGGAAAACTACCAAGGTTAAAACTTTAAGTAATCAAGACTCATGAATTATAAATGAAAAATTGCATTTACTTATGACTCCTAATATGAACTTTCCAAAAATGTAACATTAGAAGTTCTAAGTACCCAAACTGGGAGTGTTTCCCAGCAATGTTTGGAATCAAGAATGAGTAGATACAGGGAGGATTTTGATTCACCAATAATTCACTTACCACAAGCAGAACCCATCATTTGAGTAAGGGCATTTGGTTTAGCCAAAGGTCTTTTCTGATTGGCAGAAAGAGTTACTCAACTCTTATGAAAATTATTTAATTTTTTTGCCACACACACACAAAAAATATATATATATATATATATGTGTGTATATATATATATATAATTTCTTGGAATAAGGTATGAGTTTTAAAAAATTAAGAAACATAAACATAACTAAACCAATTGTCCCCCCCCTTTTTTAAAGACTACTTGTTACATCTGATTATTTTGGTGGGTTCAGCCATTACTCTGAATTTACCTTGCCCAATGTCATGAATTCCTTGGCTTTTAGTATTTTTAAGGATAACAAGGTTTATATTTCTTATTTCAACTTTCTAAAGCCTAGTCCAAAGATAATGACTTATTAGGGCTTTATAAGTCATATTTAAAACTGAGCCTAGTGGACAAAGAAATTTGTAGGAACCCCTAAAACAGTAGTTCCCAAACCTGGAGGCATAGTAGAATTTGCTGGCCAGCTTTTAAAAATAATAATGTACAGACTGTACTCCCAGAGATTCTGCTTTAACTGGTCTGGGTTGGGGCCCTGTCCTTAGAATGATTTTTAAACATCTCAAATGAATGGAACATGCAGCCAGCATTTAAAAACACTACTTGGGTTTACCAGAAAATCATTCAAGAATGATATATAAGGGTACTTTTAAAAGTTCGTGGAAAATTGAATTAAAAGATAATACTCATCTTTCCATGAACTTTTTGAAGACCGTTCATGTATTGTTTGTGCCCACATATGGCAGGCACCAACATTATTCAGGCAGCAGTTCAGCCAGCTTGAGTGAACTAACCTGGAACCGGGAACTAGCTGTCTAATATTGTAAACCTTCTGACTCCCTAGTCAGGATTGCTTTGAAATGAACAGAGTGCTTTGTCTCTGATAGATTTCTTTTCTGCCACTGGTAGGTTTTCCATGAATGCTTCTTAAACCCTTGCCACAATAGTGGAACCTGCCAACAGCTTGGGCGTGGTTATGTTTGTCTCTGTCCACCTGGATATACAGGTAACAAAGAAAAATACAAATTTACAAGTTTTGATATATTTTTCATATAAAATCATTGTGACCTGCAGAATCAAACATTGGAACATCAAAGACATGTCCTGTAAGATTCATTAGACCATATCAATGAACAAAAATTTGATTGAACAAGATAACCCAATAGGTAAAAAAGGATACATACCCCTCAAATGGGTTTTCTTTGCATATTTTGGAGGAAGAATAAAGAATCATCTTCTCTATGGAAAACTCACATCATAACAGTTCTGGAGGACATGCCCAAGGTTTCATTCTAATACAAATTAAATGCATGATACTCAACATAGCACAGATTGTCCAGCACAAACATTTTTAAACAAACTCCCAGTTCTTCTCATTTGCTGCATACTAATGGAAGTTCTTGTAAATAGTTATGATTTGTTGCTTCGTTTCTATCTTTCTGGAAGGTGTACTTAACAATATGGCTTTGGACTTGATTATGCAGGAGTAATGTAAGAACTATGTCTTCTTGCAGTTTTTTTCTCATTCCAGTTGACACCAGAAACATAATTTTTAAGAGGAAATGTACTATATTTTAAAATTGCAGTTAATTTAAGATAATTCCGTTTTCTTCTAGACAGGTTTTTGCATTTTAAAAAATTTTGTGCAACCAACTTTAAGGAGAAAAAAATGTTATTTAAGTAAAAGAATTCACAAAATGAGTAAAAGAAAGGTTGGAGAACAAAACATAGTCAAGGGCTGTCAAGAACGTTGGCATTCTTCAGGCACAGAAAGACAAATGCCACAGGACCTCATTCATATGTGGAATCTAAGAAAAAAAACTTGATATTATAGGGGCAGAAAATAGAACAGTGGTTACCAGAGACTGCAGAGAGAAGGGGGAGAGGGAGAGGAAACAGGGAGAGGCTGGCCAACAGGTACAAAGTTACAATTAGATAGAAGGAATAAGCTCTGGTGTTCACAGTAGAGTGACTATAATTAACAGTTAAGTTTTCTATATTACGTAATAGGTAGAGGCGAGGCTTTTGAATGCTTTTGCCACAAAGAAATGATAAGTGCATGAGGTTATTGATACATTGACTACCTTGGCCTGATTATTATGCAACATTATGTATCAAAATATCAGATTGTACCCCATAGTATGTACCATTACAATGTAAAAGGTAAAACTTAAAAATAAATAAATTATTTAATATAGTAGAAAAAAGGAATATTGGCATTCTTCTTACTAAAGCTGACTTGTGTGTGTGCGTGTGTGCGTGAATTTTTATAAAAATTTTTGCCCTGAGGGCCGGCCCGTGGCTCACTCGGGAGAGTGTGGTGCTGATAAAAATTTTTGCCCTGACATTTCAAAAGAAATAATGGATCTTGTCCGAGAATTCTATAAATGAGTGGTTGTTGAGAGAGGGCATAATATAGGATAGTGGTTCTCAAACTCTAATGTGCAACAGAATCACCTGGAAGTTTTGTTAAGACACAGATTGCTGGACACCAACCCCAGAGTTTCTGATTCAGTGGGTCTGGGGTTTGACCTGAGAATTTACATTTCTATTAAATTCCCAGGTAATGCTGATACTAGTGGTCCGAGGATCACATTTTCAGACCTCCTGGTATAGTAGAGGAAAACTAAGGGTTTCCAGCAGAGCTAGCCCATAGAAAGCCTGTGTACACCCTGTGGGAAGATGCAGCCCACCTAGGACACCTGGCTTGTGAGTTAAGATCTAGTAGGATATAGCCCCATGTCCACCCCTCAACCAGGTGACCTTGGTAGCAAGTATATATGACTTTATATTTTTATTTTCAAATTAACATAATTCCTGGCTCCATTTTATGCTTCAAGAGTTCCCTTTTCTCTCCCCTACTCCTAATTTATGATCTTTTGCTATCTTTTATGTATCCTTGTAAGGATATCTTAAATTTGTTTAGAAAGAGGCAGCACCTTCACTTAAAACTAGATGGAAGCACTTAACAAATATTTCTCTTTTCTTTACCACTGCTCCCCTCCTATAAATTCAGGTTATTGAGCGTATTACCTTTAAACGACCATGGTTCTGCTTTTGTTAATTCCTCTCTTTGATTGTCCTTCAGTGTTTGGTTTGCATTTTAGGCTTAAAGTGTGAAGCAGACATTGATGACTGCAGCTCGCTGCCATGCCTCAATAACGGAATTTGTAAAGATGGAGTTGGGGCATTTATTTGTGAGTGCCCTTTGGGTTACACAGGTAAGGAGAAAGTTTCTTGTTTTTACAATACTCATATAAACACTTGGAATCATTAAGTTTTCATCACTGACGTAAATTTGAAATGTACTGTTAGGATATATTTACGGGGTATTATCAACATACTGAATAGGCATTTTTTCTAATATTATTTATATGCACTGGAGAAGTGTCGTTTTCATTATGCCATTATGCAAGGAGAATAACATCTCAATTAGGCAGTGTAAAATTGCTTGAGGTTTATAAAACAAGCATTGGACTCATCTTTGCCAACTAGATGTGTGACCTTGGACAAACTACTTAATGTCTCCTAATCTGTTTCTTCATATGTAAAAAGAGAGGCCAGGAAATTAGAGGAAATATGTAAAGCCTCAACAGTGCCAGATAAATATTAAGTCCTCCCTAGCTCTTCACTAGTATTTTGCTGAACTTATGACATGTGTATGTGTTTATTTCTATGCAGGTTTGTGTGTGTGCATGTGTGTGTGTGTGTGTGTGTGTGTGTGATTATTACTAACTGTGGACTTCAGGCACTAGAGTCCCTGAAATTTTTATGGACCACTCTGCCTCTCTTTTTAACTTAAATAAATGCATATACTTCAGTGTATATCTTATTTAAGTCACAAAATTGCAGCTTCCAAACTCCTCCCCCAAAATAGTTCAGAAACATTGATCAATTCCCTTGTTCAATCACATTATAATTAGTGAAAATATAGATGATAAATTCTCATCAAGCAGAATATGATTTACTACTTTATAAATAGTAACAACCTCATAATATTATTATGGGGAGTGTTATGATCATTTAAATCTTCCAGTACTGTACCTAACTCATAAAATTATTATACTAAATTCATATCTGAATATATATTTTAATACATTTGGGAATATAATTTTCTACATTTTAGTAAGTTCAGTAAGGTCTTTAAAACATTTCAAAGAAATCAGATTCTAATAACATTATCATCTAAAAACTATTTTCGTAAAGAAATGAAAATGTTTCACATCATAATTTATAGTAATAATCATTTGAAACAACTCATATATTTTCTCTATTTGGAATCCATGCAGTGGTGGGGTAGTCAACAGTCATATGGGAAGATATACTGAGTTTCTGCAGTGGGAGTCACATTTTATCTGGAAGTTTAATTCAAAAGTCTGTATATAGGGAGAAATTTTCAATAGTCAAAATAGCCCTTGAAAGTCCCTCAAATCAACTGTCAAGTAGAGAGGCATACTATTTTGCAATATGCCTATTTTACCTCCAACAAGAGAAGAGATCATTCTGTCTCATGAACACCAGATACAGTGGGTGGCTTGCATTTAGGGGTCATGTCACATATACCTTGAAACAAGTAACAGCCAGCTTACATTCTAAGAGCACACAGGCTCTGAGGCCAAGTGGGGAAGCTACAGATCTGCACACACATCACCCACACTCGGCCTGTGGGTTCAACAGCTGAGTCTACAGCCAAATCATTTGCCCAGCTGCAATTTTCTTTCCCATGCTTTCTTCCACTCTCTTTACCATGTGCATATGGTTGGATTTCACATATGGTATGAAAATCACGCAATTCCACCATACACGTTTTTATTTAAAGTTCCAAATCTCAGGTTAGTGACACTTAGGGTTGAATCCTAGTGAAAACTTATAACCAGAATGGCAGATACGTACTATGAGAAAAATAAATCCAAGCTTCTAAATAAAAAATACGTTTATTTCCTAGACATTGTATGTATTGTGCTAATTAATAGGCATTAAATTTATTGTATGGATTTAACTGCAGAAAACAAAAAAAAAATGCTTATTATGGTCTGTATAAAAAAATGCAGATTTTATGTTAGATTTACTATTCTCGAAAACTGACTTTTATTGGTGCCATTTTCTTTTAGCACATTTTAATGTTGTTAGGGTACATAAATTATTAGATATGCATTACATAATTTCATGAGTGGTAAATTTAAGCATCCTAAACTCTTCAACCAAAGGAGTCTTTGTACATATGTACTTGAACTTGCAGATGTGGTTCTAGGCTTATTTCTGTGCCTGTCCTTGGTAATGTCACAAGCCTTTTTGAGTCTCAGTTTGTATGGGTATGAAATTAAGAATTTGAATCACATCAGTTGTTCCCAAATTATATTCACATAAAACATGGGACAGCTGCACAGAAGTTTGGCTGTGTTTTCCCAGTTTGCTTTCTTTATTTAATATATTTTTCCCATGATTTTTTTCCAACTTTATGATTGCTACCTCTTAACTGTAAAGAGAATAAATTCAACAAAGGGGTAAACAACTAGCAAATAAATAACATAAGAAAAACTTTTAAAAATGAAACTTTTCTTAACTAAAAAACATAGCTATATATGCGTGGTTATCATTTTCTCTTGCATGTTCAAATGTTGAGTTTCTTGCTAGAAAATTTTCGCAGTTCATAAAATGGAAGAAAGCATTTTATTTCAATGTGTTTGGCAAAGAGCAAAATATTTTACAAACATCAGCCATGATTTCCAATTACTCTAGTCTTTCTCCCCAACAATATGCTTGAAAACTATTGGTCTTAAAGTCCTTTCAGGTTTTTTCCAGCTCAAAGATTCTATGATTCTTTGCAGGTCAACTATGTGAAGAAAATATAAATGAATGTAGTTCCAGTCCTTGTTTAAATAAAGGAAACTGCATTGACGGCTTGGCTGGCTATCGCTGTACATGTGTGAAAGGATATATGGGTAAGATGTTCCATTCTTCCTACATTGTCTTAAAATCCTGGAAATCACCACAAATTAGTACATTTACTAACATAGTGTATATATGAGTATTAATGTTGTTTTGGGATTTTATGACTGTACTGCGATTACATAAGAGAAAGTCTTCATTTTTGAGAAAATACACCCTGAAGTGTTTGGGGCAAAAGGGCATCATGTCTACAATTTGCTCTTAAACAGTTCAGAAAGAAGTAATGGTGTGTGTGTGTGTGTGTGTGTGTGTGTGTGTGTGTGTGTGTGTGTGTGTTAAGACAAACTTTCAAGAAGGAATTGGAGACAAATCATGTAAGATGATGTTGCAAATGAATGAAAAATAATATGGTTTAAAATGCATATTTAATTGACAAGGAGGAAGAAAGAAAATAGCAAGTGAAGGAAAGAGGCAAGGTCAAAGAAACAGGAAAATTTTAAACTAAATTTACTAGTTTTATTTTTTTTAACATTATCTCAACTAGATGTCCATTATCAATCTTAGTTTTAGAAAGAAGTAATATAAAAACAGCAGATTATTCAAAAAAGTCCTAAAATGATTTGCAAAAGCCAGCAGTCATTACAGAATAGATTTTGAACCAGTTTAATGGGACAGCGGCTCTCTGGCCTCCACTTCAATTCTTTAAAAGAAGCTCCTCCAGGAGGTCAGATCTTTGATCGCAGTTTTCCCAGGGAGTTAATTAATCACTTGGGCTCTTTTCCTCCTCCACCCACAGGCCTGCACTGTGAAACAGAAGTCAATGAATGCCAGTCAAGTCCATGCTTAAATAATGCAGTCTGTGAAGACCAGGTTGGGGGGTTCTTGTGCAAATGCCCACCTGGATTTTTGGGTACCCGGTGTGAAGAAAACACGGATGAGTGTCTCAGTCAGCCATGCAAAAACGGAGCTACTTGTAAAGATGGTGTCAATAGCTTCAGGTAAAAGGCTAAATCTGGTTCTTTTTCACTATTTTTATTTTCTTAACTGTTCAGTCCTTTCGAACAGTTACACCTTTATGGAACATTACTTCATGTCCCAAGTCAGCCATTCTCAAATGCTGGGCCCAAGGATGGGCTACGGGAGAATCTCCCCAGCACTTGAGGTTCTGCTTCGCTAAGCCTGAAGTAGAGCCTATAATTTAAAAAGAATTAACCTGTTATGTTTTAAGTTTCCCAATGAATCTGATGCTTCTGTTCTACACTTAGGAAGTCACCAAAGATAAAAGGAAAAACAATTACACAGAAGAAAATACAGTAGCACTAGATGAAACCCTATTTTTTAATGTTTTCTGTTTCAGCTGAAGATTTTATACTAGGTAAAATTGAAATGGACTGTGCAATCTACTGCCTCATGGTTTTCAAACACATGTTTAATATAGTAATGCTTGGTTTAAAAGAAATCTAACATGACTAGAAACAAATAAAATAGTAAAAGCTAAGCTTTTGTGGTTGGAAATAGTAGTGTTTGAGGAGGATTAAGACTGTCTTCCTGAGGCAACTCTTAGGGTGCCAGTAGGATACAGTTTGAAAACCAACCCACTCCTGTTACCATTATCAAGACCACCATATCCCATGCCCTGCCCCTTACAGGGAGGTACAGAAGACAGTACTTCTGCACAGAGAAAACAGACTGCTCTTGCTTGCAAAATTTTAGGAAACTTTATTATCCTTGAGGTGTTATTGGTTCTATAGGTTTACAAGACTTAAAAGCAAATACCAAGTCTCCCCAGTCGCAATGTCTTGCTTGCAAAATTTTAGGAAACTTTATTATCCTTGAGGTGTTATTGGTTCTATAGGTTTAAAAGACTTAAAAGCAAATACCAAGTCTCCCCAGTCGCAATGCTTCCCAATTTTCTTCTGGTTTGGTTCCCATCTATTACTGTCCTGTCACAAAGCAAGCCAAGGCACTATCCAGAAAAAAATAGGAAGGCAATTCTGCTAAAGAGACTTTCATCCCCAATATGGATGAGGTCTCAGTGTAGCATCTTCTCATAGGTTCTTTACATTTTGTGGCATACAACCTCTAACCATAAGCAATGAGAAATTTCCAGATGAACACAAGGGTTTCATATTCTCCCTAGGATTCAAAACAACTGATGAATACCAGATTTATCTAGATTCTAACTAGATGAAAGGTGAAGGTAAACTATTCTAATTCAGAGGGAATGCAGGTTGTTGACAAAGTGAACCTATTTTATAGAAGAGGATATGGTAGTGTTGTAATGATGTCAAACATAGGAGGATAAAGATGAGTGAAATTCTAGCCAAAATAGATTTACCATTAAATGCAGAGATCCGGTAAAGGTCCCCCAATTCCAGCTGAGATTTCCTTTAAAACTCCCTAAATACCATTTATTTATATTAGTCACCTTTAAGTCAGTATCAAAGAGGTCTCCGTATGAATGGGCTAGAAACAATAATATTAACTAGCATTTATTGGACAGGTGTTCTTTAATTACAAAATGCTTTAATTACATAGAAAATTACAAAAAATAAAAAATGTTCATTCATTCATCACTGTGATTATCAGTCCTAGCATTTTGCCATATTTGGTTTACATCTTTTGTTTTAAAGAAATAAGTTCTAAAGACAGAGTCTCCAAGACACACACACACACACACACACACACATTGCCCTTCTTCCTCAGTGGTAACCACTGTCCTGAAGTTGGTATATATCACTACCACTCAGGTTTTATATTTTACTTCATATATAATTCTATAAACAGTGTATGAGAATAGCATACTTTTACATATTACATAACTAGTATTACTATAACATACCTTGCAATTTTTTTTTTCATTCAACATGTTTTCAAGTATTAACGAGGTGTATACATTTGGCTCTGGTTTATTCCTTCATTTGCTGCTTAGTATATCATTACATGATTAACATGATTTATTTTTCCATTCTCCTCTCCATATACTTATAGAACGATGCTGCTATGAACATTTGTTACAAGGGTCCTTGTGCACCCTGGGCAGTAATCTCCCAGAGCAGATAACAAGAGATGAATATACAGGGCTCTGAGAATGTAAACTCTCAACTTCTCATACCATCTCCAAACTGTAGTTCTACTCACTATGTGAAATTTCCTATTTCATGACCCCCTTGTCAACATTTGACATTATCAGGTGTATTTTCCATTCTGACGTATTTAAATGGTTTGCTGCATGCCACAGAGACTGTATGGCATCCTGAATAATAACAAGGGCCTGGGCTAGGTTCAAAATCCCACTCCACTGCTTCGTAACAATAGATCTTGGGCAAATTAATTCACTTTTCTGAGCAACGATTTAACTCATCTGTAAAATGGGAATAATACTAATATTACCTCTTTGTTATATAGATTGGCTTAATACATAGAAAGCCTTTAGAACAGCCTCTGAACTTTTCATATTTTTCCAAGAACTTCTGTGAGGAGAGAAACCACAATGTGTAAATATTTCAACTGGACCAGTACTACTTTCTACATTATTTTTGTTACTACGACACCTCTCATACATGTTGTCTTAAATAGGTTTAATCAGATGAATTGGAAAAAGTTACTAACAATTAAAGCACTGTTTTGATGTGGAAAATATGTTTGGCATTTCAATTCTCAGTCTTTTGAGACAAAGTTATCGTAAGTGGGAGACTTCCTGTAATAACTCTGTAACTGTTCTCATTTTTACCACATTTTGATTTCTTTCAGATGCCAGTGTGCAGCGGGCTTCACAGGGCCACACTGTGAATTGAACATCAACGAATGTCAGTCTAACCCATGCAGAAATCAGGCCACCTGTGTGGATGAATTAAACTCATACAGTTGTAAATGTCGGCCTGGATTTTCAGGCAGCAGGTGTGAAACAGGTATATACGAACTCAGTGTTATTAATAACAATACTAAAAATAGTAATATAATAACAATGACAATTTCTACCTCCACCAACCACTGTCTACCTGCCAAAAAACTGTGCTAAGCACTTCGTGCTCATTTAATCTTCACAGTCATCCAATAAACTATGTACTATTATTATTATCCCCCATAGCACAGATGAGGGAATTGAAGCTTATAAATGTAAGAGGGAAATGGAGAAAATTGAATTTAGTAGAATTCATTACATTCTATATGTTTAGAAAGGACACTTTCATAAGCCACTTGACTTAGGAGATGAGAGTACCTGGACATGTTTGAGAATCAATAAGTCAGTGCTAAACTGCTTTCTTGGGAGACTAGAGTCTTAGCTGTAGGATTTTTGTTTTATTCAGTGGAGTATACAGATTTGGGGCAGAGCTGAATTGCTCATGAAATAGGGAAAAGCCAGAGCTGTGAGTAGGGGTAGGATGTTGGTCTTGCACTACCTCCTCCTCCTCTCCTTCAACATCAGTCACTTCCTCTCTCATCGGTATATAGACATGCTTTATTGTTTTTTGTTTTGTGTGTGTGTGTGGCTGGCCAGTACAGGGCAAGCATGCTTTAGTGTCTCCCAGCTTTAATAACACCCCAATTCCACCTCTCCTTCAAAATCCTCCCTGTTTTTCTGCTTTCTTTCACTATTGAGTTCTTTTCCTATCTTACATCCTCACTAATTATTTTATTTAAAAGAATGTGCTATGTGTTTTGTAAATAATATGCATTTAATTTTTAAACTACTTCTCAAATAGTTATATTTACTAAATGAGCTTCTTTGACAGTAGTACTGCTGTTTACCTTGGATGATTGGAAATGCTTTGCAAGTGCCACTGTGTGCACACTTTTCTTATTTGTTTCAGAACAGTCTATGGGTTTTAACCTGGATTTTGAAGTTTCTGCCATCTATAGCTACATCATGCTAGATGGCGTGCTTCCACCTCTCCATGCTGTAACCTGCACATTCTGGATGAAATCCTCTGACACCACCAATTATGGAACACCAATCTCCTATGCACTTGAAAATGGCAGTGACAATACCTTCCTCCTGACTGATTATAATGGGTAAGCAGAAATGTCATGGAGACTTAGGACCTTATCTTGGCACCAAGTTAGAACTGATATTGGGGATGGAGGATGGAGGAGTAGGGGGACACATGCTCCAGGAGGACAGCACAGTGACAATAATCAAATAGAGCATCTAGACAAGTTTTGTCAGAAGGCAGAGTTTTAGTGATACCTTATGCATGCATTGTGTTTTGCTGTTAACTAAGTATTTTCATATGTATTACTTCACTTGATCTTCACAATAACCTGAGGAACTAGTGCCCATTTTACTGGTAGCAAAACAGAGTTTCAGAAAGACTAAATGATTTGCCCAAAATCTTACACCATGACAGTGGCAGAGCTAAGTCTCAAACTCTGACTCTAAGACTCATGCTCTTTCTTTTTCCTAGCAGAACCTCCAAAGGTTAAAGGATTTCAGTGACATTATGCACCCTCGGGGAACAGGTGTATTGAGTATGAATCAGTCTTCAAACTCAGTATGCAAGATGACACTTCTTTCTTTCTTCAGGATCAATTAATTCCAACTCCAGGGCCCCATCTTTCTGGGCTGTCAGAAAATCAACCTCAGTCATACCCAGAGGTTTGCTAAAGAGCCACAAATTTAGGAAGGACTTCCATCATTGGTCATATGTCCACACTACTTATCACTGAGCTGTCCCCTGGCTCACCATGTGGTCCCTTCAAGACCACTGCTCTTTTCCACGTGTGGAATCCTTGGCAATGCTGCAAATTTGTGCCTTCAATCTGAGCAGATTCTGTGGTGTATCACATGGTCTTTTCCTCTCAAATTCACCCAAATTCCTGGCCTACTAATGAGCAGGTTGCAGGCCTCAGATGCCCATTGAATTCTCTTACCCCTCTTCAGTTCAGGAAAACCTCACTCTCCTGGTGGAAATCTTCCAATCCTCAAACACTATTCTTCTTGATAGACTTCAGTTTCAGAAAAAGAATCCAAGAAGTTTGCAAAAACCTCCCTTGAGGCAAAACACATATAAAGAGAGAACTCATTGCCTGCTTGAATAGGAAAAGGAAAACAGGAAAATGCAGAAAGGAACAATTTTGCAAAAATACTATTTTTTCATAAAAAGAAGAAGAAAAATACTAACATGCCCCACAGAAAGGATTACAACATATGACTAATGACTATATTCCCTGCACTCTTTCTTTCCACAGCTGGGTTCTTTATGTGAATGGCAAGGAAAAGATAACAGACTGTCCCTCAGTGAATGATGGCAGCTGGCATCATATTGCAATCACTTGGAGAAGTGCTGATGGAGCCTGGAAAGTCTACATAGATGGGAAATTATCTGATGGTGGTGCTGGCCTCTCTGTTGGTTCATCCATACCTGGTATGTTTTAGCAAAATGACTACAATGCTGTTAGACTCGAGAGGGGATGGTACATAAATGAACATCAAATTTGCTTGCTTTGTTGTCCTTGGTTTCAGACAAAGATCAACGGTTATCTGTCTCATTTCCTACCCCTTATTATCCAGACTGTGAGTTATTAGAGGCTTTTTCCTAGGTGAGCTGTGTAACTGTGCAAAAAATGCCTTTGGAGATCTATATTAAGACCACCAAGAAGCAAGCTGAACTAATAGGTGGTTGCTAAACTGTCTTCCAAGGAAATAAATTGCTGGTGGGTTCTGTTTGTTTGTTTTAGGGATTGTTTAGTTTTATTTCGTGATCAATACACAAATTGGACCACTGCTAATAGCTGTCCATCTTTTATGCCCTTTTTCAGATGGAACTCAACCTGTCTTCTTTTTTTTGTCCTTTTTGAGACCGGCTGCACCGCACTCAGCCAGTGAGCGCTGTGAGCGCACCGGTCATCCCTATATAGGATCCGAACCCGCAGCGGGAGCGCTGCTGCGCTCCCAGCGCTGCACTCTCCCAAGTGCACCACGGGCTCGGCCCTCAACCTGTCTTCTAAAAATAATTTTTAATAAATATTCAGAGTTTTAGTTTGAAGAACTACAAAGCATTAGGTGACTCAAGCTTCCCAGCATTGTGCGTGGCAATCAGCTTCCTCTATCTAGATACATTTACAGAAGTTCTCTGTACATGATATTATTTTTCACCACCCTCATTTGTTTCAGATATTTTTTTAAAAGGTCCCTGGGGTGACCTGTTACCTTAGTTGTAAGATAAATATATTTATAAATATAGTACAAAAAGTACTAATCTTCACGAAAATGTGGAGATTACCTTTGCAAAGCCTCAAATCAGATCTTTATTTTATTTTTTAAAAATTATTTTTTATGCATTGTTTTACTTTTAATACTAAGAAGATCCAATGGGATCAGACTAAAGTTGATTTGTTTGTGAATTTAAAGGATATATACTGAGCACGCACTAGGTGGGTCAGGCATCTATGGCAGGCACTGAAAGCCCAATGGTGAGCAAAAATCATGTGGTTCCTGCTCTCCAGAAGCTTTCACTGTGGTGGGGGAGTGATATATTTTTCCCATAATCACACTAAACAAATGTGTAATTTCAAACTGAAGTAAGCGCTATGGAGGAAAGGAATATTGTTCTATGAAAGCCTGTAACCAAGGAGCTGATGTAGAATGAAGAGGCAATGGAAAAATGTTCTGATGAAGGAGAATGGCTCTTGTTGAAAGAGCTAAAAGATTTATATATCTGGAATGCAGAGTGAAAGAGGGAATAAAGGGCATGAAGCTAGAGAAGGAGGTCATGACCAAATCACCTAAACCCTTGTAGAGCAGGTTAAGGATTAAGGTTTTCATCTTAAAATCAATGAGAAATCACTGGCAGGTTATGAGATGGCTGGAGTTGGTGGCAGGAAGGGCAGCTCAGGTAGTTCTTGGCATGATCAGAATGAAGTTATAGGGCATATGTGAAAATCCCTGAACAATAAAGAGGTCTCTAACTGGAGGACAAATAGAAGTTATAGGGCATATGTGAAAATCCCTGAACAATAAAGAGGTCTCTAACTGGAGGACAAAAACAAAACAAAACAAAACAAAACCCACTGAAGAGACATCACTGAGCATTAATGTCAGAGTAATCAGAAGCACTTGTTATGCTTCTACTGGGAGGGAAACTTGGACAAATGAGAAACAAAGGAGAAAGCAGCTCTCTTCATTAACCAAAATAATTGAAGAGTTAGATGAAACGTATATCCTGATCCTTGGATGTGTAGCCACACAGTATTTGTAAAGCTCCAATCCAGACAACAAGGCTACTTCTGCATGTCAAAGTCACAGAAATTACAGCCTCAAAGGGCGGCTCTAGCTGTAGAGTCAGAGACATGAGCATTTTGTAGTGAGGAGAGGAGAGAGAAGGAAGTTCAGGGGGTTTAGTGCATTTAGGTAGTGAGGATGATTTGTAAAGAAATGAATTGGGGAGAAGGAAAGAAAACAGACAAACTAGAAACATTAGACAGGTTGTTGTAACATGGGAGTATTGGAAGAGTAACATAGAAGCTGCTTTTAAAAATAATTAAGATCAGGGCCGGCCCGGTGGCGCACTCGGTAGAGTGCGGTGCTTGGGAGCGCGGTGGCGCTCCCGCCAAGGGTTTGGATCCCATGTAGAGACCGGTCCGCTCACTGGTTGAATGCGGTGCGGGCGCGGCATCAAGGGTTGCAATCCCGTTACTGGTCACGAGAAAAAGACAAAAAGGAAAAAAAATAATAATAATTAAGATCAGAACAGAACTAAATGAAATAGAGAGCCAAAAAATGATACAAAAGATCAATGAAATGAAAAGTTGGTTTTTTGAGAAGATAAACAAAATAGACAAACCATTATCAAGGCTAACTAAAAAAAGGAGAAGACCTAAATAACAAAAATCAGAAATGAAAAAGGAGACATTATAACTGTTACCACTGAAATACAAAGAATCATTAGAGATAATTACAGACAACAATATGCCAACAAATTTGAAAACCTGGAGGAAATGGATAAATTTCTCAACACATACAAATTACCAAAACTGAACCAAGAAGAAATAGAAAACCTGAATAGACCAATAACAAGCAATGAGATTGAAGCAATAATCAGCAGTCTCCCAACAAAAAAAAAAGCCCAGCACCAGATGGCTTTACTGCTGAATTCTACCAAACCTTTTTTTTTTTTTTCCTTTTTGTCTTTTTTCGTGTCCGGCAATGGATCGC